TTTTTCTTATTTTTCCACCCTCCAGGAAGTGGACTTTTCATTCTCTTCTGACTGGTTCTGCGGGCGCTTTCCCCGTCTCCGCCAGGCACACGGAGTCTTGTAGCTTAGTTCCCCTCTCCTCTCTCGGGAAGCAAGCTCCCCCTGCACATCCGAGCCATCTACTGGGGCGAGGCGAGCGGGGACGCGCCGCGGGACCCCCCAGTTAGCTCGGGCCGCGGCGACGCGGGGACAAGGGGTGGCCTCGGCCCGGACCCCAACCCGGCCCCGGCCCGGCGCGCGTACAACCCCCGGGGCTCGCCGAGTTCGCCCGCACCCCGCGCCCCCGGCCTCCACCCAGCGTCCCCGGCACTGACGCCCCTCTCCCTCCTACTGTCGCCGCGGGGGCTCCCCCAGCGGAGCGGGGATTACACAGCCGCCGGGATGCCCCAGCTCTCGGGGGGAGGCGGCGGGGACCCGGAGCTCTGCGCGACGGATGAGATGATCCCCTTCAAGGACGAAGGCGACCCCCAGAAAGAGAAGATCTTCGCGGAGATCAGCCACCCTGAGGAGGAAGGAGACCTGGCCGACATCAAGTCCTCCTTGGTGAACGAGTCTGAGATCATCCCTGCCACCAACGGACACGAGGTGAGCGCGCCGCCGGCCGGCCAGGGACGCAACGCGAGGGAGTCGCAGGGGCCAGGGCCAGCGGTGGGGTCGCCGGCAAGAAGCTTCGCCCGGAGCCCCGCGTCGGCCTGGGATGCGACGCATTAAAGCTGGGACGTGTAAACAATGCCACCGGGAAGTTCGTGCCGAGCACCAAAAACAAAGTGCACCGTTGCTCCGCTGCTCCGGGTGGATGCGCTGCAGACGCGCGATAAACCACCGAGGGCGCAACCGAGCGCGACCAGAGCGGGAGCCTGGGCGGCCCGCGTGGGCCGGCAGGCGGGGCGTCCCAACCGCCTAGGCGCAGGGCCGCGTGGGGATTGCGTGGGGCCGGACCTGGGGGCGCACAGGCAGGTGGTCGCGAGCAGGGGCCCCGGGCAGCCTCGGAGCCGTGGGTGCGCGGAGCCGCCCGCCCCGCTAGCGCGGACACCGCCACTCCAATTTCCATCGCTTAAAGAAGGGGGAACTTTTATTTGGCGTTCCTCTGGGCCCGGATCAGGCCTTCAATCTATGCACGGAGTAAGGCGAGCCGTGCAGCGGCGGAAGCGCTTTATCAGATCTCAGGCTGCGGCGGCAAGCGCGCCGGTAACCCGAGAGGGTAAATAGAGACACGTGGGTGTAGACGCCCAGGGCCGCGAGCGGGCAGCGCGAAGCTATTTCGGGCGAGCCCCAGGCTGGAGGGTGGGGGAGGGACTCTGACACCCGACACCCCCTGGCCACCTTGTCCAACAACTGGGAGCCCCTCCGGAGGAAATCCGGTGGAAGAGGCCTGACACCCAAAAGCTTTCACCCACGCCTTCTCCTTGCAGAGAAACTTTGGAGGTATACCCTTTTTCCTTAAATGGCATCCTTACCCCCAAAAGAAAGCGCGTGGTTTGGGGGCGGGGACATTTTGGGTCTTAAACTGCATGTTTAAGAACACCTCCGAGTTCTCTGTCCGGATGGCAGGGGTGAGTACACGTTTTGGAAGGGTGGGTACCCGGGTTCCAAGGAGAACCCATAAAGGTGCTCTTGAGCGCGGGATCCAGGGTGAAGATGGGGTGGGGGACAAGGTGCACCCAACCTCCGTGAGAGATCCGTGACTCTGTGGGAGGGTGAGGTCATCCGGAGGACACATGCCCAAGTAACCAATAACGTCCAGAACACTCAGGCTTTTTGCCAGACTCACGTCCTTGTAGAGCAGCCTCTTTCCTCCTCCCCGTTAGCTTTTCCTTCCTTAGCCCATAAATGAATGTACCACCTGCTTCACCTTTTCTGCACTGTTAGGGTCTGGGGAGAGGGCCTGTTGGTCTTGGGCGGTGGGGGTGAAGGGGCAGAGTCCCAGGAGGATGGAGCAGAGGGAGACCGCTGCTTTGCACGTGGTTGAGTGGGCATGGATGGCGGTTGTCAAAGCTAATGTTAACTGGGCTACCTTTGAAACGTCTATAATCTAGCTCTCAATTTTCCCTCTGTAACCACAGCACAGTTCTGCTTTGCCCAGGTCAACCTGCACCCGGCAGCCCTAGTAGGCTTTGAGGCCTCCTGGAGCTCTAGCTGGGACAGTTTCTTTAATACCCCACTGGAGCACTTGGCTTGTTTATATTTAAAATGACATTTTCAGCTACAGAATGACAGTCAGCCTGCTTTTAATCAGATCTATTTGAAGTGAACAGTGACTGAAGAGGCTATCAAAACAATCAACCCCATTAGCTCTAGCAGCACCTCTCATGTCAGGGCCCCAAGTAGCCTTGGTAGGTTTTGGTAAACAGCAGTCAGAGCCGCACATAAATCATTAGCAGATTTACTATGTTTTTGTTGTCAGTATTTTCACTTTTTGATCCTGAGTAGATAGTAATCACTCAAAAAATGCATGCTGAAAAACAGATTCCCCAGTATTCCAGCCTTGCTTATTATCCTTCTTAGACTAACTGAATGAATGGGTAGAGTTATCAGTGGTCACGCATGTTGTCCCAAACTCTAAGGTGATTTTCTTTCTTTTGTGGGTGGGGATTCACACTGTTAGGTGGCCAGACAAGCACAAGCCTCTCAGGAGCCCTACCACGACAAGGCCCGGGAACACCCCGACGACGGTAAGACGGTTTTCCTCCAACACACCGTCCCTTAGATGTGTGTGTGTTGTGTGTATTGGATTTGTTCTGCTTCTTTTATGTACATTCCCAAGACCAGGACCAGACATGATAAGAAGACACCCACTATTTTCACAAAACGGGAAAGGAAGCACAGGCAATTTATGACTTATCTCTGATGCGTGTTGCATCATTTTAAAAACTGTCTTTGAGCTAGGAGCCTTTGGATTTCAGTTGCCTTCCTGATTCTTGGGAGGCGGAGTGAATGTTTACAGTGAGGTGGGGTCCCCCCCAACAAGAATAGTTTTGAGCAGAATTTCATTGGCAAAATTGCGGCTTCCAGCTTGCTACAATGAACAGACAGGCGGTGAAGGAATAAGGCTGAACGAGGCCCAGGAAAGACAGCCTAGCTTGTAAAAGCAGAAAACTTACAAGTGGGAGCAGTGTGTGGCAAGCGTGGAAGACTTTCTCCCACACAAAAACCTTTAAAAATGATGAATGTATATAAAATTTTTGATTTAAGGAGAGCTCCTTATGGCTTGAATAGAATCAGAGAAGTGGTTGAGTTTACTTGTCAGCCTGTGTGCATCTCTGGTGCCCTTAATGACTACAACGTGTGTACCTACAGTTTGCCAAGCAGAGAAAGAGCTAAGAACAATGCACTAGGCTTCCCTCTCAGTGACAGAGCCGTCACACGGATTAAATACATAAACTGAACACATGGATTTCTTTGGCTGACTGATGAAAGTGTAGCACATAAAAAATTAAACCTTCCGGAGTTAATCCCTTATAAATGTGGGTACTTGCTCATAATCTAGATATAACTGTGTCACTTAGTAACAGGTTAGAATTTTTGAGTCTGCCTGCAAGGAGAAATGTAACTTCAAGTGTGTAAGTATGTATGCGTGTGCATGTCTGGATGGCCTCATAGACTTACATTACAGCTTTAAGATTGTGTGTGCTCCTTCATGTTTCTGTATTTCTTTGTCCAGTTTGTTAGAATTAAATTAAATTAGATGGAGAATACTTATTTCTGTGAAAGCATCAGCAGTATTGGAAGTAAATTGAACCACATGTTTTTTAAACATCTGGTGCACTGTTAAACCTTTTAAGAGAATAAATGCTGTCAATCTAAAATAGAGCATAATAATCCAGCGATAGTATTTTATAAACAAATCTTTTCATGTAAAGTCTGATTTGTTGTGGAACTATTAGATATTTTTTTCGGATGAAAAATACAGTGGTAGAGAAGGGAAGACTATACGTTACTGATGGTCCTTTCGTTCTCACAGGAAAGCATGCAGATGGAGGGCTCTATAACAAGGGGCCCTCCTACTCCAGTTACTCGGGCTACATGATGATGCCAAATATGAACAGTGACCCGTACATGTCAAACGGATCCCTTTCTCCGCCCATCCCGAGGACAGTGAGTACCGTGCGGATGTTACCCGTTATTCTCAGCAGTGCAAATCAGTTTTTTTGGCTGAATGTTGACGATTTTGTTTTCAAACACATTGGAAAGGCTTTCCTGACCAGTTGTTGCTAAGGAAGAGCTGTGGCAAGGAATGAAGGGTGCTGCCTTAGGATAGTGCCACTCTGATGTCTTGCACTTGGAATTTTAGCTTCTGGTTTGCTGCTGGAGGTTAATAAATAACAGATCTCAAAGTATGAAATCTAATGATGGTAAAAACAACAAATCTATGATTGTGAGGACTGTGCTTTTCATACTGATGACAGGAGAAAATGGATCCAGTCTTTCAGTTAACTAAAGACTGATGGTTTTCCAGGGCCGTAAGCCATCTAGAAGGAAAACTGTGTATATGCTCATTTGGAGCCAAATGTGCAGGTTGTCACTTTGGCTTTGAAACGTGTCTCATTTTATTTTATTGTACTAGCTGCTGTTTTGTGAGGGGTGGGTGACCTATTTTTGCTTCATTGTCGGTTGTTGAGAAGGTATCACTTGCAGATAACCTGAAGAAAGTTGCTCCTTTTTTATCTCACGGTTCAGTTCACTTCTGAAGTTCTAAAAATCTGGTGGCACTATAACTGCATTATGCAAATGCGTAGCTTGGAGGATTTCAAGTTTGTCATTGGATGATTGCTCCCTTTTCTGGAAAGTAGAAACCTCACTCATGGAGTGAGGAGACATCTGAACAGTATGGTGTGGGATGTGGGCATGCATATGGTGGGGATGGATTCTCAGAATCATTCCTCCAGCAGCGGGATGGATCCTCAGGGGTCCCTTCCCTCCGTGTATCTACTTCTCACCAGCCCCACCTCGCTCCATCCCCACCACTGACGGAAAACATCTGTGCCTGAATCCTGGGAGTCCGGGTTTCAGTCTCTCTTGTGACTCTTAGAGGCCAAACCTCCTAAGCCTGGGATCTTTGCCTGCCGCTGACAAACTGAAAAAGTCGCAAGCAACTGGGAAAAGTGGTGTCCTCAATGTCCCAGGGGACAGATCTGGAGGACTGGTCCCCAACTAGTGATCAGCAGTGAGGTGTTTGGTGACCTTGGTTTCCTATAGCCCTTGATGGTCAGGATGTGAGGCGTAGCTCTGACCACGCTGTAGGCACTGTGATTTTGCAGGTAGTGCATTTATTTCTCCATGGATTTCAAAAAGAAAATTTGGCTTTTTCAAGTAGGGAATAAAGAAGAGTTTTCTAATTTTCATACAGCAGCCAAAATGGAGCTCCTGGGGACTGTGTGATGGGTACCATAGGAAAAAGCTACTTCATGATTTATTTTAAATGGATTGTCTAAATATTTGGTGCTATTTAATGTTTAATTAAGTGAGATTTAATGTGAGACATACAAATCTACCTTAAAAAGTGAATGAATTAATAGCAACTGTAGTTTAATATTCAGACACCACCCTCAAGCAAATGCTTCTGAGTTTTCAGACTTGTGGAAGACTTTCTATTTGTTGAACTAGATATGCAGGTATGCCACAGATTTCTTTCTCAGTTGGGCAACATTTTGGTTGTTGTTGTTCTTGGGAGAGAGGATCTAAGTATGTTTTACATAAATAATTGAAGATTTCTGTTGAAAGCTTTTTAGGATAACAAATCATCTTCTGAAATCAAATTATAGTCTTGGTAGTAATAGAAGACAGCCACTGACACCACCTACTTAGTTTCAGCTAGTTTAAGTTATTGCGTATGTGTGCCTAAATTTAGTCCTTAGCAAGGTCAGCTACTTCTTTCAAACAATATTTTTTTGTAAAATTAGTAAATGTATTGTAGTAAAAATGTATTGTAAAAATGTATAGTGTAGTAAAAATGTATTGGAATTTGTAAATAATTGCTAAGAGTATTGACCAGTCAGCTTTTCTTTTCTTGAAACCGCATTCTGCCTTAGGTCTCCATAGGGATTTCCCCCAACCCTCATGTACTGGTCATTTTGAAATTGTGATAGAATGGAAGGTATTTGTTGCTAGTGTCTGTATTAAAATTTTGAGGGCAATGAATCAGTCATTCATTGCTTAGGAAGGGCCGGGGATATAGCTGAGCGGCGAGGAAAGATTTGTGGCCAGAATAAATGTCAGTAGGCACAGAGTGGAGGGCAGGTGTGATCAGGAAGCAGTTCTTCACACTGTTGTCTGAGGCTTTGCTTGATTCTCTTGCTTGTTAGAATGTGTTTATTTTAGCCTGTTTTCTTGAAATATCCTGCACTTTGCACAATTCCAGAAGCTTCTCAGTTTTAACCACAGGGCTATGTCAATTTTTTTTTTAGGGTCCAACCAAAGTGAGTTACAATCTTCGGTTTTTAATACCTACCAGCTGTTTTTAATGTGTCTGAGATCAAAAACACTTTAACCGGAAGGCACCCTCTCTTCTTCACCCCTAACCGCACTCTGTCTTCATGCTCTTTAATCCTGTCCCCAGCAGGCCTGAGTGTTTGTGTCCCTGACATCCTCAGCGACGACTTTCATCAGGGTGTCAGGAGCAGGGTGACCATTTGTGCTGGGGCTCAGGGTGGGAGCAGCCCAGGGCCTCCCTGGGACTGGGATTTGCATGACAACTACTTGTTTACTGCATCTGTTGGGCCTAGGAACATCTGGGGCGGGGAGGGGCAGGACCACGGAGGGGCTGGACCACCCCTTTCCAGCCTGGACCCTTCTGTGTGCAGATGGAGGTGAGCTGGGAATCTGGCCCACAGACCTGCTTCTGCCAGAACCTCCTGTGACTCCTCTTTGTCCTTTTGCACAAACACTGGCGCACGTATGCTTGTGTAGGTCTCAGTACTGTGCTACCTGTCGGCGAAATGTACCTTCACTTACCCATTTCCCCTTCTGCTGGGAAATTTTAACTGGCAAATTACCTCCCTCTAGAGCTGGAATTCTTAAGGATTTCAGTGTCTGTACCAGAGACCTTGTGAATGAGCCTCTCAGAGGGTTTTAAGTAAGAATTCTTAGTTCCCATAGATTGAGCCCCAGAGGGAAACACCTGAGTAATGCATTTGGTGACCTTGTGAGCTTTTAAGACACTGGGAACCTTGGCGGGACTGGTCTCCTGCAGGAATGAGAAGAGTTCCTCAGGGTTTTGGTGAGGACGCTGGATTGCTGGTTAAACGAATAACTTTGCTTTTTCTGACCCTCATGTATAGAAATCCCTCTTGGCCAATGGGAAAATAGGAAAAAAAAAACAAAACAAACACACACACACAAAAAACTAGTCCCTGCCCTGCAGGCCCTGTTGCAGGCTGCGGGCTGAGGGCCCTGGAAATGTTTGACTGGGCTGACTTCTGTACATTGTTCTGTGGGTCCCAAGCCATGTGCTCTTGTCTGAGGCAGCAAACCCGTTTGTCCCTGCAACCCAAATGTTTAGCACCTCAGAGAAGCCCTGCATTTCTCTCCAGATGCCCTGGAATGAGGGTGCAGGGCTGCCGGAAGCAGCTCAGTCCCGCCAACTTTCTCCATCGCAGGTTCTCTGTGTTCTTCCTTTGAGAGAATTTTTAGGTGGGGAAAGAAGATGACTGTTCTTATCCCAGCGATCATTTCTACGTTTATTTCTTAAGTCGGGATCGCTATATAGTGTGGCAGGAGTTGGTTCTTATTGAATTGACTCAGTTCTTGTGTATGAGTTTTACTTTAGGAAATCAACACATTGGTATCTGATGAACAGCAGAACTCTGTGAGACTTTGTCTAAGCCCTACCCCATGCTTGTATTTGCTTACAGACAGATCTGTTTCACATCTGGAATGAAGGAGCTAAGGTGGGCTTTACTGAAAGAAGACCACTGACCCGGCCTACCAGAAATCATGCTTTTAGGAAGATAGATCTTCTACAAATGGAAGGGAACCAAGAGGCTGAGGGAGGGGGTGTGGAGAGGAACTTAAAAAGAACTCACATGTGTGATGTCCACGGACCAGCTCCCCACGAGGAATGGCATCATCACGTACTGCAAACATGTACTATTAAACATAAAAACCACAAACAGTACCCCCAGTCTGGCTTTTGAAGTATCCCCCACCCCCATACAGGCCTTGGGTCTGCTGTCGTCTCTGCTGTGGTTTGGGTGCAGCCTTCCTACAGCGCGACACTCTTGGGGGCTGCCCAGGACAGAACCGAGGTAGCACCTCACACACGGCTCTGTCAGGACCTGGACTTGTAGCCTCTCCAGGGCTTTCCTCCAGCTCAGCTGAGAGCATTTCCAAACTGTTGAGTTTTTAAAATAAACTAATTCGATTATTCCTTTAGGCAGAGCTATTTGGGGTTTATGTGATTGAAGCTTTTTGAAAAATCAGATCACTCTCTTCTCCTATTCCTTTTGTTCCTTGTTTATGTGTACAGATACTGTTGGATATTTTTCCTCCTTTTTTTTAGTGCTGGGGATTAAGCCTAAGGCCTGTCTATCACTGACCTCTACCCCCAGCATCTTTTTATTTTTTATTTTGAGACAGGGCATCATTACATTGCCAGTGTGGTCTATGGCTGACAGGAAAACACACGCTTTATTTGCAGGGAAAAGTAGAGCTGGCATCTTGTAGGTGCTGCCGAAGGCTGTTTTTAAAGGGGAGTGCTCATTTAAATCCTGTCCTCATTAAAGCCACCTCTTATGCAGTACGCCACGCTGAGGCAGCCTGTAGGAAGCTGATGTAGTAATCAGGAGACGTGGTGCTTCGTTGCACCAGTGTCCCAGCAGGTCCTCACTTGCTTAGAAAGGGTAGCCATTGAACCTCAAGTAATTAAAAACCATATTTTAGCAGCCATACCTGATGGTGTATATCTTTAACCCTAGCTACTTGGGAGGCTGAGGCAGGAGGATTGCTTGAGCCCAGGAGTTTGGGGCCAGCCTGGGCAATGCAGTAAGACACCACATCTAAAAAGGAAAATGTGTGTATGTGTGTGTGTGTGTGTGTGTGTGTGTGTGTGTGTGTGTCTGTTTATGTATACATATATATTCTGGGGTTCACGATTACTT